GTGGTTTTTGATGGTGCTTCATCACCAAAAGTCGAAACAAGTTGATCGAGACACTCTTGTCTCGATAATCCGCGCCGAAAATCGTAAAAAATCATCGCACGAAAATTTTCACGGGACAATTCCATTTTTTGACCGAGATGAATTTTTCAAGTCACTGTAAACAAAACAATTCGCGCTCGAATGACAAAACGTTCTGAGTGAAGTTGTCCTAAAAAATGTCAAACTTTCCAATGGAAGTGTCAGATTGCACCTGGCAGCACTAGTATTGCCAGGACCCGAAATATAAATAGTGACCCTCGTACATTTGTGATTTAATTAAAAATGATAACCATATGTTTAGTTTTAAAACAAAATTATTACACTAAATGTTGTTCCATTATATATTCTCTAGGTATACATACATGTACATATATGTACTAAATATATATATGTATGTATATATATGCATTAAAATAATAAAATATATAATTTTCTTTTGTGTTTTTATTTAATTAAAATTAAAATCAATTTCTTTATTTTTCTTGTATGGAATTTTAAACAAAAACATTAAAGAAAAAATTTATTAGAAAAAAAAATTTAAAAGTTTAATATATATGTATGTAAATATATGTATAATTCGATTTTTGTTGCAAATATATATATACGTATATATGTATATTTGCTTACTGTATAAAATCATTGTGTAAAAATTTAATATGTACAGTAAAACCTCTTTATAAATTATATTATACACATAATAATTTTTTTTTTGTAATGAAATAAAAAAGTGTAATTTCAGTACAACTTAGAATTAAATAGAAACTTGTCTTTATTAACGAAATTCTGAATTTCTTATATCTCGAGAACCCTAACACCTACTGACTTAATTCGAAAATCGTACTCACCAATTCGGTAATATTTACGAGCTGAAAAACAATCAATATCAATATCGATTCGACTTGGGTCTTCCCAAGATTAAGAACTTTATTACAGAGTCTTGTAAAAAAAAATATGTATGATCAAACTTTTTGTATGATTATGATTAATTGTTGATCACTTTAAACAACAGTTATGATCAAACATGATCGTTCATATGATTGTATGATATTTGATTATTATGCTATTTTGATCATATATATTTAAAATATGATCAAACAAATTTTTTTTTTCGATTTTGACTGACAGTAATCACTTGAATAGCTGGTATTAATTAACAATTATGATTGTTATATAACTTTCCATTGAAAATCAAGAGCAACCAAACTCATTGATAAAAATTGTAATACTTAAAAAGAAAAAAAATCACCAATGAATATCCCAATTTTTAAAAAAAACAATTTATAAGGGATTTATGACTGTATACAATTAATATTATTTTACATATATTTTAATAATTAAATAATTAAATGGTGCGTTATTGCAAAATATTAAATTTTACTGAATCAAAAGACATCAATTAAATTTTAATATTTAAAAAAATTTAAAAATTTTCCTTTTACAGAAATGAAAAAAGTGATCCAAAAAAGAAAAACAATTAAAAATAAAAACAAAAATTTAATAAATATTTTTTAATTTTAAAATAATTAAAATTACTTATAGAAAATATAGTTATACGAGATAAAATATCGAAATTATTATTATTAAAAATAAGAGAGATTAAAAGTCGGAACGAAAACAAAACAAAAAAAACTATTCCCAATTTGAATAAATATCACAGTTTTAAATAATATAACAGTTATATATATATATACTTTAATATTATATATATATAATATAGTTTATTTATAAAATAAGAAAATGGATTTTTTTATTATATTAGAATAAAAAAAATTAATTCATTTTTTATTCTAAAATTTTATATTTAAGTACTAAATATAATATTTAAACAATACACTCTCTATAATAGCTTTAATTAAATTTTGAATTACATAATATTTAAATTTTAAGTGAATATTTTTAGACAAAAAAAAAATAAAAAAATAATAAAAAGTATATATAATTTAAAACTAATATTTAAAATAATTAATAGTGTTAAAAATTAAATAAAATAAATTATAAAATAAAATAAAAACAAAAAGAAATTGTGATAGTAATGTGCTATGTGATTAGAAATTAAATTTATATATATATATATATATGAAATATATGAATATATAAATATTTATTACGTATTTTTTTAAATATTAGAAATAAAAATAATTAAAAGAGAACAAAAGAAAAAATTTAATATTAAAAATTTAAAATTTAGAATAATATGTAAATGTAAGTTTAATAATTATATATATAATTAATAAATATTCTTCATTATTTATTAATTATTAAAAAAAAAGTAAAAAAAAAATTAATAAAAAATAATTAAAAAATTTCATAAATTTAATTTTTGAAAAATAAAAATTTTTGTTTTTGATTTACGTCTATATAATTACATTGTTTTTTTTTCTATATATATTTTCTTTTATATATACAGTAAAATATAATTATATTAAGTAAAATATATATATATAATTGTATTGAAATAAATAATTTATAGCAGCAATCTATGTGATTTTTTCCATCTTTTTATATATACATACATATAACTATACTAATTATAAAGAACACGTTAATAAGATAAAAGAAAAGATAAAACTATAAAAGAAAAAAATTGTCAACTAAATATCTAAAGAAAATAACAACAAAAATTTACTAATAAATACTTACTTATGCAACAAATAAATCACAGTTATTTAATATAAATCACAACAGTTATAATTTAATATAATAAATTAAAATTAATATAATAAATTAAAATAAAATAGAATTTCTGATATAAAAATAATTACTTATATAATTAAATAGATAAGATTATTATATATATATGTATATATATACAATAAAATTAACAATTAATAAAAATAAAAATTAATTAAAACTATTAATAGAAATTTAAGTATAATTTATAATTAATTTATACAAAAAAATATTAATTTGTTTCTTAATTTCTAAAAAAAAAATCAAATAAATTCAAAAAGTAAAACTCTGAAATAAGTTACGTTAATAATAAAAGTACCGTTAACATTAAAAAAAAATATATTTTATATTTTTTGATTTTACTATAAAAAAAATTTCTTTTTTAGTTACCGTTTCTTACCGTTTCTATTTTGCCCCCATTTTATATTATTTTTTCTGTTCTAAAAAAAAATTATTAAATTAAAAAATTAAAACAATGAATAAAATAAAATTATTTGAGAAAAACAATAAAAAAAAGAAAGTATAAAGATGGAAAAATATGAAAAAAAAAATTGAATTGCTGCACTGCCAAAAAAAAAAATTAATAATGGATTCCATTTCTTTTCTAATCAAAAATAAATTGTAAAATGAATAAGTAAATAAATAAAAATAAAAACGAAAAAATTAAAAAAAAAAAAAGTTCAAAATAAAATATATATGTTTTTTTGTTTTTTATTAAAATCTACATCTACATTTATAAAGTTTTAAAAAATAAAAAAAAAAAATTTTAATAAAGAATTTTTCTATATCACACACACACACAAAAAAAAAATAATGATAGTGAGAATAAAAAGGTAGGAATTTGTAAAGAAAATATTTTTTAATTATTTTTTTTTATAATATTGTTAAAATAGTTTTTTTTTTTCATAATTAAATTGTAAAATTTTATTACTTAATTGTAATAAAATTGTAAAAAATAATTTTTATAGCAATTTTATGATAATTTATTAAAATGTCTTATGAAAAAAATTCTTAAGATTCTTAAAATTCAAATGTAATAAATATTAAAAAATTATATTTAATTCAAAGAATACACGTAACTGGTATAAAATATGATCTTTATCGGTAAAATACTCTTTTATTTCGAATTTACTTTGAGTCTGAATAGCTGACAATTTATTAAAAATAAATTCCATTTAAATAAAATGAACGAATTAAGAACTAACCTGCGCCACGTAAACTTTTGAATGATTACAAATTCCAGTCGTAAAGATTCTGAACTAACAATGGCAATACCATTTTTTGGAGTATCCAAATCACTCCGATAAATGTCAATATAGATTTATTTCGCTCCAACTTCATGATAGCCGTATTGAAGTTAAAAGAAAATAAAAAATTTTTAATTTCAGAGAAAAATTAAAAAAAAAAACGGTTCTTTTTAAATTGCTTGTTCCGTGTGATTATTTTTGTCGTAGACTTTTGACATTTATTTTTACTACGAACGTTTTTTATGATTACCTTATTACGAATGCCCGGAGCAGAATTTTAGTAATTTTAAAATTGATAAAATGGCATTCGTAATTTTCCGAGTGTCAGGGCTACGAAAAATATATTCATAGTTTTACTATTTCAATATGTTCCCCCCTTGCGGTTTGTCTCTTAAGTAATCTTGCTTATGGGACGAATAATTTCTTTTGTGTCGCAAAAGGCTCATATATGAGCATGAGTTCATATCAAAAAAAAGAAATGTGAATATTTATGTATTTAAAAATTTTCAAATGAATTCAAGTAAATTGAAAAAATTTTTAGAAACAAAAACAAAAAGAACACAGATGACATTTTAGTTGACATAAAACAAAAATAAAATATGTAAAATTGATGCTAATAAAAATATCATCTGTCAAAATATTTTGTTAATCTGTCACACTACTCTTTGCTATTCTATTATCAAATTATTTTATCACTATATCAGAATATGAAAGGAAAACACGAATTGGAACCATAAAAAACATTATGTGTCTCTTCCCTCTCGTATCACCGCTTAAGTGTAAACTAGCAACAATACAAATTAAATTTTAATAGTAGACAAATAATTTACCGTACAAATTATTTTTTATTTACCATAAAAATATTAGCATAAATCATTCGAAAAGATAAATTTAATTTTTAATTATAAATTTTAATTATATCAAAATTTTTAATTTAAAATACTTATTCATTTTTATAACAATTTTAAAAAAATTTTTCTTAAATTTTAAATAGAAAAAAAATTACTAATTCTTTTTATTATTTTTATTTTTTTATAATTACAGATTTTATGTGCTAATTTGTCATAAATCAAATTTTTAAAACATACAATTATAAAAGAACACTAATAAATCAAATATAAATATAAGAAATTTAATAATATTAATATTAAAATAAAAAAAAAAAATAAAAAGAACATTAAAAACAAAACGGTCATAAAAAAATAAAATGAGTTCAGCTCCAACACAAATAGCTGTTGCTCCATCATCAGCTGGTAATCTAGTAACATCATCATCTGGTCAAATACAAAAAGATTATTTAGAAGAACCATTGGCTCGTCAAAATAGTTTAGGAAATCGTGGAAGGGTAAGTTTTTTTTTTTATTTTTTAGTTATTTTTGTTACACACATGCATATATATGCACAAATAAATTTATATAAGGAATATTTAAAGTGTCATATGAATAAAATTAAATTTTTTAATAACATTAGCAAAAAATATTATGGCAAAACATTAAAAAATAAAAATTTTATTAGGTTTACAAAGGATAAAATTGAAAATTTTTTTTTAAGCTATCGAAGCATTTATTATAATATTTATTATAATATTATTATATTATATGTGATAACATGAATACACAAATGCACATATACATATGTATACTTAGGCAATATTTTGTGAATAAATTAACCATAAAATTCTACTGAAATGTCATTATCTAAACAACAACAAAAAAAAAAACTACTAAAGATAATATAAGTAAAGTATAAAATGATAAAATAAGCATTAAATTTTAATTTTTTTCTATATTTTCTATATAGTAAAATAAACATTTTTAATAAATTTATACAGATAATTTAATGTTTATAAGTGTTTTATGCATACTCTGCTTATATTTTAATATCAAAGCTATTTTTTAATAAAGCAAAGAGAAAAGCAAGTAAGGAGAAGCAAGCCCATATTATTCACATTTAATAGAAAATGAAAAAAAATCGAATATTTATAATTTTAGTCGAAATTTTCGAAATTTTATTTAATGAACGATTGAATGAAATCTTTATATGAGAAAAATTAATCATTGTTTAACATAGAATTGTCAATACAATATCGTAATTTGAACTTCGGTTATAGTGTAGCAGAGTCGCATTTAGTTAGAATAAAAATTAATTAAAAATTTTTTTTTTGGCATGAATTCGCCACAGTTTAATCAAAACTCTGCGTTAAAATTTTTTCCGAAATAATAACATATTTCAAAAATTAAATCCCGATCTCAAACTCACATAACTTTTACGAGTTTAATTTCACATATTTCTTAAAATATTTTGATAAATTTTTTTTATTTTAATTCGTAGTATGCATTCCCTATGATTGTTCCTATTCGGATTGAAAATTTAATATTTTCCATTAAAATTTTCATATATAACTAAAATGAGCCAAAAATTAAATCAAATGCGGGCTGCAAAACGAATAAGCTACGTATGCCCAACAAAATGTTTGTAAAATTTTAAATCGAACTAATCAAAATTAAAAAATTTTATTTCAAACTTATTAAAATAGCAAAACTATTAATGCATCATTGAAAATTTCCATATCATAACTCAAAATTGATTCTAAAAGATAAGAATTTTAAAATTTGATTATTTTGTCAATAATTTAAAAATAAGAAAAATAAGTATCACAATAATAATTTTAATTTAATTACTAATCACATCACAGCTATACTAAGAAATCGATAAGTTCGATTTAAGTTGAAAAATAAACATTGAATCCATACAATGCACTTAATAGGATTTCTAATTTTAGAAATGGCATTTTATAAAAAATAAAACAACAAAATTTATTACGATAAAGCAAAAAACTATTAACGTAATAGATTCTAAGAAACTTCAGGCTTTAATTATCGAGAGAAAACAAAATAAATATTTTAAAATTCTTAAATATTTTGTATAAAACAAGAGGAGAGGTGGGCGAAGAAGGCGAGGTGGCGAATATAAACAAATCAAAAAATATTTTGATAAAAACAAAATTTGTTTGGTCAATGTCATAATAATCAGATTTCGAACTCACAAATTTAAGTAAACATATTCACGATTTGTGTTAAAACAGCAGCACTTCCGTACAAATAACAACAAATAACAACAAAATTTTAAAAACATACCAAATGTATAAAAAAATCTTAAATTTAAAGAAAGAAAAAATTCATAAAAATTTTCGAAAAGAAATTCGTAAAATTTTAAGAACTTTAGAAGCTATCAAGGAAAAGTCAAACATTTTTAATTGTTTGCTTTTTTTTATAAAGTTTTTTTTTTTTTAAATAAATTTTTTCAAAATTATTTTGCATTCTTCTTTCCTTTATTAGACACATTAGACTTTTTTTTTCTTAATAAATTTTTTTAACGTGCCTGAAATTAAAATACAGGTAGAACAGGTGACATTTTTATAAATTGAAAAAATTTTCATTTATGTAAGCTGTGTGGGTGAGTGTGTTTGTTTGTGTTTCAAAGAAAATTTTCTGTTTAACGTTTTCTTCCCTTTTAGCGATTTTTTTTTCTAAGAAAAGTGTTTTTCTTTTTTTTCTGTGTAAAAAGAAAAAAATAACTTTTAGTTAAGTTTTTGACAAATAAAATTCTTTTTTTCTTATGTGTTTTCAATATTGTTATTGCTTATAAGAAAAAATATTTCGCTTTATACTTAATTAATCATAAGAAACTTAAGAAGTCGAAAAGCTATTCAGATTTTATTAAGGAAATTTTTAAAAATATAAAGGAACTGATTCTAGAAGTTGGTTTTCGAATTAATTTTACTAACTTTTAACAAACTTATAACAAATCGGAAAAGATTTGATTAATTTTATAAAGTAAAATTTTCAATTGAACAATTTTGTAATCGTTGCACCTAGGGTTGTTTAAGGTTATTGATTATAATTTGTCGACAAAATAATTTTAATTCTTGTTGAATTTCAATGTGAACAATATTTACAAAATTTTTGAATTTTTTGAATTTTAAGTTCCTTTCAAAGAGTTAACTGTCAAACGAATTGTCATTATGAATTGTCATATTGGTGATATATTCTTTAAAATTCGGATTAGTTTTCGTACTGCTCAAACTTGTAAAAGATATTTCAGCATAAAATTGTAATAAAAGTTCATTTTTGTGTTACTGAGTTTGTTAATTAGATTAATTGCTGCAATAAAATCAATTCACAAAAAAGTCGTTCCGCATCTGGTATTATGGTCAATTATGGTCGTTACCGCACTATGATAAATAATTATTTTTTTTACTTTAATATATGGGTCTTATTTATCTGGATACGAAATTGTACTCGTATGCCGCTATGTTCTTTTTGATGATCGCAACTTGTCGAAAATTTAAAATTTGGCGATTATTAAATACTAAAACAATGGATCTGTCTCATTATCCTCAAATATTGTGCGATTTTACTCTACCCGATATTGCTTGTTCTGTGTTGCGATATCACAAAGTTATGATTATAACCAAGCAACCAATGAAGCTTTGTGAGTTTTGACAGCCCTGCGTTTTAATTCGTAATTAAAAGGTAGTGCTGTCGTGCAAATTTAAACTGATTTCTGATATAAATTTCCAAATGATCAATAATTAGGTATCAAAATGTGCTAAAGATTGTTGAATACATGAAGTACTTTGCACCATTAAGAGCAAAAATGAAAAAAAAAATTGGAGAAAAAAAAATACAAACTTTTTTTAATATTATCGGGAAATAAACTTTTTGTCATTAACTTTTACTAATACAAAAAATAAATCGTACCGTAACTCCTTTTAACTTTTATTAAAAAAAAAATTAAAATTTTTCCATTTTTTTGTTTTTCATTCGACCTAATTTTTATTTAAAAACCACCATTGTCCTATTTTTTTTTCTCTATATTTTTTTTCTGATTGTGCGCTTTTTGAAATTTTCAATAAATGTGTCTATGTATGTACATTTTTAGTGTTATTATGTAAGTATTAATTTAAAGTTTTTATCTTGGAAAATTTCAAAAAAAATTTTTTTTTTGTTAAAATTGAATTTTTTCATTATTTTAAATTAATTAAATGGCAATAACGTAACACTTTTCATTTTAAAGTATTTAAAAAAATTCTTAATTTATATTGAAAAGTTCTAATAAGAGTTCGTAGATAGCAGCACTGTATAGCATTCATATATATAAGCACGTATGTATTTGCAAGAATGCCAAATATTATGTACTTAAAATGGAAAGCCTATACAAATTTATATTAATAGAATTTAAAAGAAATATTAGATTTCAGAGAGAAAAATTAATTGCTTTGAAAACTGAGCTCATAATTAATATTGTATAAGAAAGGAAAAATTCAAAATATTCAAAATGAAAATTTCCTTATTTTTGTTTTCTTTACTTAAGTGAGGAAGCCAACCCATTTAAAATTTATATATATGCATGTGTATGAGTGTGTACATTCGAAGACATTAATAGGCATTATGCATAGTTTTTTTTCTCTTCTTTCTCTCTATATTTGAGCATTTTTAAATTTTTACCTTTCTCCATCAAAATAATTTTCTTTTTCTTATAGTTTGTTTTTTTTTAATATTTTCGCTCGTATTTTTTTTTCTTTTGCTTTAATCAAGGTCATATCGATTATTTTTTTTCGCCGTCATCAAAACCTTATTATTATTTCTCCGTTCTTATTCGTCTTCGTCTCCTTTCTTATATTTGAAGAACTGTGATTTTTTTTTCTTAATTCCCTTTACTGTTTTCCCTCCGTATTTTTACCTGTCTTTTTAGAATAATTTTGTATCGTGTACGATTACAATTTATATATTTTTTTTTTTGTTTTGAAAGAGTGAGGGTTAAATATGATGTGACATCAATTTTTTGTTTGATATAGGTAAGGCACAGATATTAAGAATATTTTTTTGAGGTAGAAAATAAATAAAGTTAAAGGCTTTTCCGATTTTTTTTTTGGCTTTTTCGTTTAAAAGAAAATTTTCAAGATCTTTCATAATAATTTTTTTTTCTTGTTTTTCTTTGTTTATTGCTGTTCTCTTTTTCTCTTTTTTTGAAGAAAAAAATTAACGTATAAAATTTAAGAGGGATTTGAAAAGAAAACGAAATACTAATTTGATTTGCATAATTTTAGGGGAATGAAAAAATAAAGAGAGAAGAAAACAATATTGTTTGTTTGCTTAATTTTACTTTTTTTTTTAATAAGGATGATTATTAGCAGTAGAAATTTTTTCCTTGTTAAAGCCAAAAAAAAAAAAAGATTATTTAGAACAAAATTGGCTGTAAATAATTTTTTTTTAATTAATTTTTGAAAAGAGCTGTAGATGTGCTTTAAATTAAATGATTGTTTTTCTAGTTTTTCGCTAA